GTCGGCGATCAGCCATTATTGCTGATGATCAGATCGGTCGTTTCTACAAGTCGGCGACGATCAGCCATTATAGCTGGTGAACAGACCAGCCGTTTCTACAAGTGAGCAAAAAGTCCTTATTGTTGATGATCAGATCAGTCGTTTCTACAAGTCGGCAATCAGCCATCATTGCTGATGAACAGATCAGCCGTTTCTACTAGTGAGCAATCAACCATTATTGCTGATGAACAGATCAGCCGTTTCTACCAGTGAGCAAACAGCCATTATTGCTGATGAACAGATCAGTTGTTTCTACTAGTGAGCAAACAACCATTATTGCTGACGAACAGATCAGCCGTTTCTACTAGGGAGCAAACAACCATTATTGCTGATGATTAGATGAGCCGTCCCTACAGGTGAGTAAACAACTATTGTCACTGATGATTAGACCAGCCTTCCCCGCGAAAAGAGCAAATAGCAACTATCAATGATGATCAGGCCACCCATTCTCGCAAACGACCTGACACCCATCAACGTAGATGGTCTGACCAACCATCCCATCGAGCCTCGCTAAATCAACCGGCGAAACGGGGGGGGGGGAAACGAAACGAAACAGAACAGACTGGGTGAGTAAAGGGGCGGTACGAAGAAAGAGTGAGCAGAGAGGGAGAGAGAGAGAATCAAAGACAGAGAGAGAACAGAGAGAGAGAGAGAGGAAGATAAAATGGAGTGRCTCATCAAAGGTTGACCGTTGAAACTCGYTGCGATGAGAACACGCTAATTTAYCAGTCGACTGTTGAGACYCATTGGTGTGTGAACTCGGCTSATTGATGTGTAATCTAGCGGGATCKCTAGTTGACTGTTTAAGTTAAAGTTCGCTGTTGTGGGAACTTGATTCATTACTGTATAATCTGACGTGTTCACTATTTGTCGGTTTAAGTTAATACTCGGTGTTATATGGACTTGACTCATCGCTGTGTGACCAAGTCGGTTCACTAATTGACTGTTAAAACTCACTGCTGTAGGAACTTGCTAACGGTGCGTGACAACCAACCTCAAACTCGATCCCTGCTGGCCGCTGAGGACCTCGGACGCGGGCGCGGCGAGTGACAGACGTCGTTGCCCTTGGCTTCAGCGACAAGCGGGCGCCCCTCCCCGGGTTTCCCCCACACTGAAGCCCCTAACCCCTCTCTAGACACCCTCTCTCGTGCGGGACTTTGCCCCCGGGTAGGTGCCCTCCACAACTTGTGCGGATCAAGAATACTTGGCGACCCCCTTGGGTCTCAAATAGACAGCGCCCCCGGACCCTCTCGGCCCTCTCTCTCCTCTCTCCCTCTCCCCCTCTCTCTCTTTTCCCCTTGAGCAGACCCCCTTACACTATTTTCCCGGACTGTTGTTCTTCCCACCCCTTCGTTGTTCTTCACCCTCATTCAGACCCCTCAAGCAAACTGTGCTCCCCCTTAATTTTTGATTTTTTAGAAATAAACATGCGTAAAAACCAAGCACACAAAAAGGAACTGACCTGCTTTACCCTTCGAAGGCCGGAAGTGGAAGCCGAGATCGCAAGCGGGCCGGAGCGGACCTGCAAAAGCCACGGAGACGAACCCAACACCCAAAAAAACCCCTCGCACCTGACAAGCCCAACAACAAACCTTCCCTAATAAACCCCTCGCCGATGCCGCTCGAGAAGAACCGTGATCATCGTGGAGAATCTGTTGGAGACCACCTTGAAGCCGTGTGCCGAAGGACTTGATGCCGAAAAATTGCAGAACGCCGCAGACTCACCCTGCCGCTGCCTGTCACGCTGGTCCTCCCCTTGCACCGAGTCCTTTCAGGCCGGCCGCGGCCGCGGGAGAAACGCTCATCCCCGGCAACGGCGCCACTTTGTCGGGATGTCCCTCTGACCAGTCAGCCTTCCTGTCTCGCCTTCTCAGGCCCCCCACTCTCCTTCTACTCGATGGCCACGCTCTATCCCAGGCGAGGGAGCAAGTTAGTGGCTTTGTGGCTTCTACCGGGGGCGCAGATAAGAGCTTTCGAATGACTCGGCGTCGTACATATTTCCCCTTAGCTTTTGTCCGACGACTAAGCTTTCCTTTCCGCGGCTTACCGGTGTCGAGTTCGTTCTGCCCTCGAGAACGGGGGGGGCTGTACCGGGTCACAGGCACCGAATTGTTCCTCGCCCCGGGAATATCAACTGAGAACCAGCTAACTCAAGAGGCGACGAATAACAACGAGCTTGAGACGACAACAAGCTCAACAAGCAAAGAGTCTCGACAAGTTCGGAACCAAAGAGCAACTATATGTTCAGCAAGCTGTAGAACCAAAGAGCAATGGGGGGACTGAAGTTACCAAAGTACGAGCTTTAGACGGCGACCAGCTCATCCCAGTACGCTCATGGAAGGGTCCCGTCGAAGTAGCCTCCTCAACTCGCGTCCCGTCTCCCTCTGAGAACTTCTCTCTCTCTGCTTCTACTGAGAAACCACAGACGTTTGCAAGATGTAGCTCTCTTCCCCCCCTCTCTTCTTCTCTCACCTTTCTTTACTCTCTCTCTCTCTCTCACTCGTCCCTTTCTCTAGTTCGCATTTGCTTCCGTCCACCTGTCGACCTACCGCCCACTCCGAGGGAGGGCTGATAGAATGGTTGACAGCCTCACGCTAGTGATCAGGAGAGGACAACGGTCTTTGAGGATGAAAAAAAAAAACTGAAGAGCTTGGTCTCAACAGAGCGAATCCCGGGGTTTTTTCTGCGAACCGAACAGACTTTTGAGAAAAGCAAGTGAATAAACCAGCCGCGGTCGAGCTGTGGCAAAAAGACTTGGGTAGTAAGCTGAAAGAAAACACAGATTAGTCTAGTCACGATCGAACGCCAGCAAACAGATTCGAACAGGGAGCTGATTAAAACAAAACAAAAAAAGGACGATAGAATGGTCCAACACCTTAACAACCGCTCGAAGCTGCGAGAATCCTGTCTGGTCCTGAGTACGGTACAGGAAGCGAGACGTCGTCTTTCGAAAGACGAACAGCCCTCGGTCACGCGAATGGATCTCGGTGCGGAGAGGGGACGGCTCTTGCTCGTACATGTGCAGAGAGCGCGAAGCGCTCTCAGGGTTGACCGTACGTATGGCACAAGTTCAGAGAGCGAAGGGCGCTCATACTAAACTGAAATCAGGATTCGGTCATTCGCATGACGATCGGCTCTTGGTTGCTCGCATGACGCAGGTACCGAGAGCGTGAAGCGCTCACGAAGGACAGAGAAGATCCCGTGGTCGCTCGTATGATGCTTGACAAGGAGAGCGTGAAGCGCTCACCACGAACGGAAATCAGCATCAGCTCTCGGTTGCACGCGCGGCACAGGTACAGAGAGTGTGAAGCGCTCCATGGAGAACATACAATATCACTTGGTCGTACGTGTGGAGCTCGGTAAGGAGAGCCTGAAGCGCTCCCAACAAACGGAAATCAGCATCAGCACTTGGTCGCACGTATGGCACAGGTACAGAGAGCGTGAAGCGCTCCACGGAGAACAGACAATATTACCAGGTCGCAAGTATGGAGCTTGGTAGGGAGAGTGTGAAGCGCTCACAACGAACATAAATGAGCATTCGCTCTTAGTCGCGCGTATGGCGCAGGTACAGAGAGCTTGAAGCGCTCCACGGAGAACAGCCAATATCACCTGGTCGCAGGTATGGAGCTTGGTAGGGAGAGCGTGAAACGTTGACAACGGGCGGAAATCAGCATCAGCTCTTGGTCGCACGTATGGCGCAGGTACAGAGATCTTGAAGCGTTCCACGGAGAACAACCAATCTCACCTGCTCGCAAGTATGGAGCTTGGTAGGGAGAGCGGGAAAGCACTCATAACGAACGAAAATCAGCATCAGCTCTTGGTCGCGCGTATGGCGCAGGTACAGAGAGCTTGAAGCGCTCCGCAGAGAACAACCAATATCACCTGGTCGCAGGTATGGAGCTTGGTAGGGAGAGCGGGAAGCGCTCATAACGAACGGAAATCAGCATCGGCGCAAGTACAGAGAGTTTGAAGCGCTTCACGGAGAACAGACAATATCCCTCGGTCATTAGCATCACCACTTGGTCGCACGTATGGCACAGATACAGAGAGCATGAAGCGCTCCACGGAGAACAGACAATATCACGTACGTGTGGTGCTCGGTAAAGGGGGCGCGAAGCACTCACGGGGAACAAAGGGCAGCACTTCACTCTCTCTTTCTCTCTCTCCGCTCTCTCTCTCTCTCTCCCTCTCTTTCTCTCCCTCTCTCTTTGGCTATGGCCGTACTTCCTCTCTCTCTCTCTCTCTCTCTCTCTTTCTCTCTCTGGAGATCGGGCACAGCGCTACGTAGTTCGCCACGTGCGTGGAACACTAGTCTGTGCGTGCGCTTCGTGCCTGCCCCTTCTCCCGTGCGCCTCCCCTAGTTTTGTCTTACTTCCTCTCTTTTATACCTTTTTCCTCCCATCCTTCCCCGTGATCGATCCCCAGTTCCTCCTTCTCCACCAATCAATAGCCTCCTGACTCAAGTTTTCGTGAGTGCGACCTCAGACACATAATAACAACAAAATATTTGGATGCATCGGCCTGTACCCCAGACTCAGGTACATGATAACTGATATGAGCCGCATCAGATAACAACCTTCGACAATTTCGAAAAAATCGTTGGACGCCTCGGCCTGAGCGTCAGGCCTAAGTCCATTTTAACGGTCGAGAGTGCCATCAAACAGCACCTCCAGACAGTTATCAAGAAACATATGCTCAACCCTGCGCCCCAGGTCAAACAATTTGCGAAAGTCTCGGCCCGCATTCCAGGCCCAGGTTCATCCCAACTGTCGAGAGTGCCATCAGATCGTACATCTGGACAATTATCAAGAAACGTGCGCGCTGGCCTGCTCCTCAGGCCAAATAATTCGTGAAAGTATCGGTTTGCATACCAGGCCCTGGTTCATCCCAACTGTCGAGAGTGCCATCAGATC